TGATATAAATTTGGCACAGCCCGTATATATTTGAATAAATAAATAAATAAATAAATAAATAAGATATTTTTGTTCAATAATTTCCCTGCAATTTACGCATGCAAACATAAAATTTGCAAGAAATTTCAGCTATTGACGTCAAAATTATTGTAGAACTTATGGGAGAGAACTTAGTTTTTTTAATTTTAAGTTCTCCTTTTAAAAAGCAATTAAAAATAATTTAAATTCGATTGACAATATTTTTTCTATAATTTCCACAGAAAAATACTTATCAAATTTCAGCCACTTAAATAAAAATTTGTAATAGTTATAAAGGAAAACATTTATTTTTGAGACATTTTAATTTCTTTTCATAAAAATTATTAAAATCAAATTTATACACTACCGGTCAAAATTGAGAGACCACTAATTTTCAGGCGAATGAAAAACGTTTTAAAACATAAAATTTATTAAAACTAAAATTTTTTTCTGTTCATTTTTTGAAAGATATTAAAATTTTGAAAAGAACAAGATATTTTAGAAGTCGTTTGGCCAATAATTTATTTAGATATTTTTAAAAAATCTTCGTTTTCAAAGTTTTACAAAAATTTGAATAACTTCTAAAATAATGGAAGCTTTTTAATGATCTTAGGCTTATTTTAAAGGTCATTTGCTACACTACAAGAATTTACTTATATGCATTAACGTGTAATTTTTTTCTTAGAAAATGCAGGCCATCAAACTTGGACCAAAAAAATTCAAAAAATTTGAAACAATCTTATTAACAGAAAAATAATTTTTAAAATTCAAACGTATTTTTTTATTAAATTTTCTTGAAAAATCTACACCATATGATGTTTTATATATTTTCTAGAATAGTTTTTAGTACAAAAAAATTGTACCAAATTTTTTGAATTTTTTTGGTCTAAGTTTGAAGGTCTGCATTTTCTAAGAAAAAAATTATATGTTAATGCCTATAAATAATTCTAATAGTGTAGCAAATGAGCTTCCGGAAAGTATAACCGCACATAAAATTCTGACCGCCATGCTAATTCAATGGGCGTCAGAATTTTATGTGTGGTTATACTTTCCGGAGGCTCAAATGACCTTTAAAATAAGCCTAGGGTCATTAAAAAGCTTCCATTATTTTAGAAGTTATTCAAATTTTTGTAAAACATTGAAAATGACGATGTTTTTAAAATATCTAAATAAAATATTGGCCAAATGACTTCTAAAAGATCTTGTTCTTTTCAAAATTTTATCATCTTTCAAAAAATAAAAAGAAAATAATTTAAGTTTCGATACATTTTATGTTTTAAAACGTTTTTCAATCGCCTGAAAATTGTTGGTCTCTCAATTTTGACCGGGAGTGTATATTTGATTTTCATTATTTTTTCCGCTAAATAAAATTATGTTGAAAATCTTAGCATTTAAGTGAAATATTGTAAAAGTTGCAGGGAAGATTTCTCCTTTTTTCAATTTTAAGCTCTTCTTTTAAAAAAATCAATTAAAATCAATTCATATTTTTGTTCGAATAATTTTCTCTATAATTTTCTCTTGGAAATACAACAATAATTATACCAAATTTTAGAAACTTACTCTCTAAATTTGAAATAGTAAAAATGTTAACTAATTTGAATTAGTGAATGACTTTTTGCTTTTGAATTAGTGAATTTTAGTAGAAATTACTATTTATTATGTAAAATTTACTAATTCAAAAGCAAAACAAGTTGTAAATCCAGATGTTCATTACATGAACAATTTGCTTCCTCTTTACGATCAGCAATAAAAAAAATTTGCTTCCTCGTGGAGGAAGCATTAACGATAATATGTTTCATTTTTAAATCATTTTTAATACAATTTAACATTTATAAAATAAAGTTCATTCGTCTTAATAGAAAGAATAAAATTTTCTTATACAGTAATATAAATCTAAATAAACAAAAAAATTTTTAGTAAAAAAGTTAATTTTTCAAATTTAATTGTAATTAATTCTATAAATTTCAATAGAATATATACTTTATATATACCAATCGATCCGTTTTGGAGCAAAGAATAAGATTTTAGAAATAAATGAGTAAGATTTTCTTATACGGCAACATAATTTTGCGGAAAGAACTCATTTTTTGATAAAAATGCGAATTTTTCAGCTTTAATTGTGATTAACTCTATACATTCTCATACAATTTATACTTTTTATATACCAATCGATTCGCCTTGATGCAAAGAATAAGATTTTATTATATATTAACTTCAATAACCAACTTAAAAAAATTTTTTTAGAAAAAAGTCAAAAAAAATTTTTTTTAAGTTGGTTATTGAAGTTAATATAATATAATAAAATCTTATTCTTTGCATCAAGGCGAATCGATTGGTATATAAAAAGTATAAATTGTATGAGAATGTATAGAGTTAATCACAATTAAAGTTGAAAAATTCGCATTTTTATCAAAAAATGAGTTCTTTCCGCAAAATTATGTTGCCGTATGAGAAAATCTTACTCATTTATTTCTAAAATCTTATTCTTTGCTCCAAGACGGATCGATTGGTATTTTTTAAAGTCTATCAATCCACACGGAGAGAAGAGTTGCAGTAAATGTGACAGAACGCGTTTAGTAAATCATTTAGTGCACCGGTTAGTGGCGCCAACTGTATGTTTAGTATAATACACTACGACACCTCTCTGTTTAGTAGAATATACTGTTTGCTCAGTGTATCTTACTATCTTACTAAACAGTGCAGTAGATGGCACTGTCTGTACCGTCAGTCCAAACCTAACGATTCTGTTTAGTAGATTTAACTGCCATGTCAGTAGAATCTACTACGCCCTTCTCTCCGTGCATTTCAAGATATTTTTACGACAAATACCTAATAAGTTTTAGCCAAATTCGTTAAAGCCTCTTCGAGTTATCGTGTTCACAAAAATCTGGATCCACACACACACACACACATACATACATACATACATACATACATACATACATACATACATCCGGACAATTGTTCAGGGTCTTATACACGGAGAAACTTTTTCTTATAATATTAAATATATTTGGTTATGTTTATTCTAAAAGTACGTTAGAATGTGAGGATTTTTCGTGCGTTGTGCTAATAATTTCATCATTAATACGAAAATATGATAAGTTCGTTATATATTAAGCAACCTTCGGTGTACAAAAATTACTATCTGCATTAGAAATAGTCTTATTTTTCTTTAGAAAAGAATAAAATGCTAGTTTTTGTTTGTGAAATAATACGGTAATTCTAACCTTTTTTCCACATATAGATAGAATATATAACAGACATTCTAACGTAACATACCAATTTTGGAAGGACTGCGGGCGGACTTAACCGATTTCGCCCGAGCATCACCGAGTCCATCACCTGACGTCGCGAACTAACCCTAATGTTTTCGAAGTTGAAATTCACACGTGTATGAAAGAAAAAAACCTTTTATTAATAAACGTGAATGTCTCCTCATGCCAAAATAAATTCAAGAACTTTTCCTCAATATAACATAATTTTTTTCACGACTTTTACTTATTTACATAATTTGATTAGTAAGTTATTTTAAAAAATGCTCTCTCTCGAAGGCACATATTTTTCCACTCGTTTAATATATAAGGACGATTCAGCTGTGTACTTCTAACGAATCGTGCGATCTTTCGGTTTCCGTGACCAATCGTCGTGTCTTTACTTGCGTGTGCGTGTGTGCGTTAATAATATAGGTTAGGTTCTTACGTCGTGTTATAAATATATTTACCTACAGTTACAGTGACATACACTAATAATGCCATCTACCATCAGATCCAAGTATCACTATCGTCTCTATGAGTATCTATAGACAATTAATTTGTTGTGTTTCTTTTTAATTCATGGCTTTCCCAACTTTGCAAAAATTATTATTTTCTTTCTAAAACAACATACTAATTTTCGTTAGTTTCCTTATGAAGAACTGTAAAATATATACTGAATGAGTGTTTTTGATAGTCTCAATAGCAATTTCTATAACCTATGTCGTTTTTCCCTTGAATCTAACCTAACATACTAAAATGTCTCACCAGTTTTAAGAATTAGTGGTATTAAAAGTTTCTCCGTGTATAACATAGTCCCATATAGAAGAAAATTTGTTAAAAGGATTTTTAAAAATTTTGTAAATTAAACGACTACAAAGCTTCCTCACGAAGAAGCAAAATCAGTCATTACACAGGAAAAAAAAGTCTGACTCCGTTTACACCTTAAATTCAGCCCATGTATTTCACATAAGTCTGTCCTTGTTTAACGGGGCTGACTCCGTTTACACCTTAAATTCAGCCTCAAAAATAGGCTGAAAGTAAAACTTTTTGTTTAGTTTGTAATTCAAATTTGGAAATATTTTTACTCATTCTTTAGAGAGTAGGTGAAAAATATCAATTTGTAACGAATTTTAGCCATCTAGGTGAAAAATTAGAATTTTTTGTTGATAATATCTTTGTGTTTGTGTTTGAGATTTTAAGATTTTTTAAATCAGCTTTTAAAATCAATTTAAATCCGCTTCACAATATTTTGTCTGAAATTTATGACAATTTTCTACCAAATTTCAACTATAAAAGTAAACATTTTTTGGAAATTTACTGTTAAGAATTTTAAGTCTTTTCTTAAAGGAAATATTTCATCTTATTAAAAATAAAAAATAAAATAAAATTCTTATATTTTCTGTTTATAGTTTTTATTAGAAAAAAAAGTTGTCATAATTTTCAAAAACAAAAACTATTTAATGTAGAAATTATAATTATCTGTCCTTCAAGATCAATATTTCCTTTATAAATAATGATAAAATTTACGCAATTTTACACGAAGCATATAAAATTTGAACTTAAAAAATGTCATTTTGTTGGTATTATTCGATAAATAATTAGAGGCTTTTGAATAATTTTGATGATGGAAACTTGATCGCTTTTTTTTGTATTGTGAAACGAAAATATTGACAATTTTTTCCTATTTATTAAGCTAAAATATTTTTTTTACCATTTGACGTACAGGATATATCTGAAATTCGATAGGAGGAGAAAACGATTATAAGAAGAAAGGAGGGGAAAATATTTATAGACTTGTTAAGAAGAAAATAAAAAGTTATGATATTAGAATCATCAATGATTCGTGACGGAAAAAGTAAAAGAAAGAGGATATGGGAAAAATTATATTAAAGAATTCTCAAGAGTGTCCTATGCACTGGATGGAGGATCCAGGAACTCAAATTTCAACATCGCGATATCTTCTTCATGCGACTGCTCTTTATTTCGTTATTATTGTTACTTTATGGTGCATTCCCGCCTGTCTTTATCATCGGTGAGATAATAAATCAATTTTAAGTTATGATTCTCATAAAATTTTCTCATTTAGGAAAAACTTTTGATGCAAATTATATAAGTGGAATTTAATTCTAATGAAATAAATTATTATTACTTTCTTTACGTTGGAAAATAAAAATATTACAAATAAATTTCCAGTTTTAATTTTTGTAAAAATTTCTATTTGTTCAGGAAAATTAGAAATTACAATTTTATTATCATTAAAAAAATGGAATAATTAGGATTGAAAAAAATTACAACGAAATTGAAATTTATTCATGTTTTTGTAAAATTTTGTAGGATTTCCATTTTGAAAAAATTTCTCCCCTTATCACTGATATATATATATATATATATATATATATATATATATATATCAGTGCCCCTTATTAACAATCCTTGCCAAATGGTCTCGAGTGTATTTTCCCTAAAGCAACTTAAATTGTAGTTTAAATATTCAAATATTAAAAATAAAAATAGGAAATAATTGTAACGAATTTTTTTCTCCTTTTCAGAATATCAGAATCCGGTCAATCAGTGGTACTGACATTAGTTGATACTGCGGCCTCCGAACTGCAAAGTTTGGCTGATCCAAAAATCGTCTCGGAATTTAGAGCAAGATCATTGTCAAATAATTTATCATTAAGTAATACAACGCCGAGAAAAGAGGAAGAAATATTTGAGACTGCCACTGAGACGAAATCAGAAATTGTCATAACAACTGAGAGAGTTAATGACAGTGCAATTATTAATAATATTACCGAGGCAAAAGAGACGAAAGCACTTAATGACGATGCCGAAACTGTAGTTATTGTTAGGGCTGAGAAAAAGTCGGGTGTCGAGGAAAATATTAAAATTGAAGATGAAATCCAAGTGGCGAAAGACGAAGCATTGGAGAATGTGGAAATTAATCAAGTGACGGAATTAAATGAAAGTTCAACTAAAACACAAATTGAAAGTAATGATGATACGCCATCCATTGCTTCCGAGGGGATTATCACACCAGGACCTTCTGACACCCAAGAGGATATGCCATCATTTATTGAATGGTCCCAAAAACAATTGGAGGAAGACGAGAAAAAGAAGAGTAAGTCTCTAATTATTATACGTATTCTTGAAAACATTTTCTGATTTACACAACTGTAACTTTTCCAAAAGTACTTTCAAGATTTCAATTCACTACTACTTTCTAGAATTTTCTTTTTTAATCAAAAGTCTTCTCTATATCAATTATTTTTAATAATATTTTTTGAAAAAGTTCTTTAAGAATTTAATTATTCAAATAAAAAAAGAAAGTTCACCTAAAATAACACTGACATTCGCTTGTTTACAATTGCATTTGACGAAATTTCAAACAATTTGAATAAAACTTTTTCAAAAAATTAACTTCTTCAAAATTTTTGGATAAATTAAATTATTTGAACAAAGAAAAAAAATTTACCTACAATAAATCTTAAATTTTATCCATTTGCTTACAATTCAATTTTACTAAACTTAACTAAATTTCAATTATTCGAAAATTATTCAATTATAAATATATAGTGTAAATGTACCACTTTTGACCACTGCTCCAGTTTTTGTCATTTTTATAAAATTTTTATTTATTTATTTATTGTATTTCCTTAAGTGAAATACTTAAATAAACTTAAATATAAATAATTACAATAAATATTAACTAGTGGCCAAAACTGGTGCTTCTACCCTATTCAAAATTTTAAATAATTTCAGAACAATTTTTCAAAAAACTAACTTCTTCAGAGCTTATATAATTAATATTATTTAAAACTTTAATTTCCTGAAATTTAAAATTGAATTAAATTAGTCAAAATAAATTTAATTTCATATTCTGTAAAGTTCAATTCTTGTCAGAAATTGAATAAACTTTTAAAGTTTTGTATAAAAATTGGTGGTGATTTCAAAGTTTATAAGGGAAAGAGAAAAAGTATAAAAAGAATTAAATCTTTAAAAATAATAATAATAATAATAATAATAATAATTTTAATTTTATTATCTTTTCAAATGTTTCTGGACACGAAAATTCATAATTTTCTAATGAATTTTAGAAATTTAATATTTTTCCAGTAAACTTTGATAAAATTCCCTAACTTTCTTTTGAATTCCTTGATCTGTGACAACCCTGTTCGACTTATTTTAATGAAATTAGATTTTTTCGTCTTAGACCTTTCGTCCTATTAAATTACTAATTTTTTGTGTAAAACGCTACTTAAATTTCAAAGGTTTAAAATTGAAATTTTAGGAAAGATAATATTCTTCAAAAAATCTTTTTAAATATTACTAAAAATAATTGCTTAACAGAAGCATTTCAGTTAATAATTCCAAAAAATAATTTTATTTTGGAATATTTATTCTTGTAATTTTTAGAAATAATTAAATTTCAGGTAATTTGAAATTGTATAAAATAATAAAATAATTTAATTAAGTTACTGAAGTAATTAGTAATTTAGAAATTCTGAAAAACATTAATTTTTGAAATATTTTAATGAAAATTTCATCAAGATAATTAAAAGACTTTTAAAAAGAGTCTTGTTTTTGAAGCAAAACTATTAAAAATTAGAAATAATTTACTTAAATATCATTAAATTTTAACTGTCTAAACATATTCGAAAAGGTCTAATTTCATGTGAGGACAAAGTAAATACAACGATTATTTTCGACGATTAATATTCAATTTATTTTCGATTAATTGTGGGTCTCGATCAAAGAACCGGTTATAATTTTTTATTACTCAAAATTCTCCATCTGTAAGTAAAACAGGATTTAGAATTTTAATTTACAGTAAGTCTTTACTTTACTTTTCTTTTTTAATTTACAGTCGTATTTATATAAAGATTTTACAGTAATTCTCCTCCAGAAATTGTGATTTAAAACTTATTAATTTTTTATTTATAGCACAACGATTTTTAGCTGATAAAAATTATAACCAGTTCTTTGATCGAGACCCCAATTTCTGTAAATTTCAGTCTAAACAAATTTAAAAACTTAAATTTCAATTATTTTTAATTCAAAATTTATAATTTCAATCAATTGCTATTTTAATTGATTTATTGACATAAAATTTTAATTTATTCTAATTTTAATTTATCCAAATTTTAATTCGTCTAAATTTTAATTCTATCTAAATTAGGGGAGAGTGGGGCAAACCGGCCATACTAACGGTTTTTTTACTCTTGTGACTAAACGAATCAACCGATTTCATTTTTCGATGGCTTGTTTGAAAGATCATTTAATTGCGCAACTTTTTCCCAGAGACACCTATACTTTATCTTTTATTGTTTAGTTGCTGTGTTAACTTTAACAAATTTTGCAAACTGGTCGGTTTGACTCACCCTCTGGGGTAAACTGGCCACCCCATGGGGCAAATCAGCCACCTAGGTTTTTTATCTATAATATTGCATTTGTATTATCTACAATAACAACAAACATAAAGAATCATGTGAACAATGGTTATAATAATGTAAATAATAATACAGGATTGAATTTCAATTAAATAAATAATTTTTTTAAATAACAAAAAAAAATGTTTGAAATTATCAGAGAAACAATATTAAAGGGTCCAATTCTCATTGGAAAACAATTATTTTTCATTGAAAGTAAATATTTTAATGAAAAAAATATTCTAATTAATAATAATTTTCGTGAAACTCTGATACAATGCAAATATCCTATGCAAACCGGCATAGGGTATGGGGCTATGGGGCAAACCGGCCGGTTTGCCCCACCGAAAACTGGCCGCTTTGCCCCACAGGCTCATTTTGAGAATTAATATTTGTTTAAAAAGACCGCTTTGCAAATTCATCAAACTTTTTGGTGGTAAATATTCCTGAGGTGTGTACCTTCAAAGCCTAAAACCTAATATTTGGAAATATTACACTATTTCCTCAGAATTTCCTTAAGAAAAAATTCGTAAAAGTGTAGAAAAAACTAAAAAAAAACTTTTGCTCCCAGCGTTGCACAAACAAAAGTAAAAAATGTCAAATTGAAAAAATAAAGTATACTACACATGGTTGTTTCAAATTTCTAAATAGCACTTTTGAAAATTTCGGAGATATTGACACCTGGCCGGTTTACCCACCGGGCCGGTTTGCCCCACTCTCCCCTGTAATTCAAAATTTTCTTTGAAAAATTAAAAGTGGAAAATTAGAAAAAATTTAATTAATTTAATAATATTCAAGATTGGAATCTAGTTTAAAAATTTACGAATATATGTAATTGTAATTTTGGATTTTTTTATAATAACAAAATTGTTGAAAAGTAGAATAAATTAAAAATTTGATAACTTGAAATTTTTTATCGTTTTTTATCGAATTTATGGAAATTTAACTAATTTTAAATTTCAATCAATTAAATTTGAATTTGATTAAATTAGTATTTATTAAAATTTGTAAAAATTAATTTTTAAAGAACAGAATTCAGATTCAGATAGAAATTTCAATCGAATTTATATTTGATTAAAATAAGAATAAATTCAAATTTTGATTAATTAAATTAATTAAAAATCATAATTGCTTTAAATTTACATTACTTGACATTTCTTTCTTAAAATTTTAAATTCTAATTTTATTATAATAATATTGTGGGCAAGTAATTAATACAAAATTCAATTAATTAACATTTTTATTGTCCAGAAATTTTTTATAATAAATTCTACTTTTTAAAATTAATTTATCCAAATTTTATATTAAAAAATTTTTAAACACTCAAAAGAACGAAATATTTTTTTACATACTCGGTGAAATGATAATCAAATAAATTAAAAAATTTTGTTCTTTTAAACTTGATGAAAAAATTCAAGTTCCACAATCTTTTCTCAATGCAAAAAAAGCGAAAGTTTTATAAATTTACATAAGTGATAATAATATAAAAAGCGATAAAAATAAATTTTTCCAAAGCTCTTCACTTTGCGCTAAACTAATTTAAAAAGTTACACAAAAGTTAAAACATTAAAAAAGGAAAAATAAGAAAAAAATAAGGAAAATAAAGAAAATGTTTTGAAAAATTGAAAATTACATTTTTCTTATAATTTATTTTTGTTTTAGCACATCCAAATGTTTCTGTTCAAACTCCTGGAAGTCCGGGAAAGAGCGTCGGTGGAATGAAAATGCGCTCGAAAAATTACGCCTCACCGGATTGTGGAGCGAAAATCATAGCTGCTAATCATGAGTCGCAAAGTGCTCGAAATGTTCTTGTTTCGACGCGCGACGAATATATGCTAAACAAATGTACCTCACGAATTTGGTTTATTGTCGAACTTTGTGAAGCGATTCAAGCGAAGAAAATTGAATTAGCCAACTTTGAATTATTTAGCTCGTCGCCAAAAGAATTTTCCGTTTTTGTCAATGATCGTTATCCAACACGAGAATGGAGTTCTGTGGGTCATTTCACTGCAAAAGACGAGCGCGATATACAAAGTTTTGTCCTACAACCACAATTATTTGGAAAATTTATTAAAATCGAGCTCCATTCACATTATGGCTCAGAGCATTTTTGTCCAATTTCCCTTTTTCGCGCCTATGGCACCAGTGAATTTGAAGTACTCGAGACTGAAACCGAGGTGCAAACATCAAATTCAGATGACGAGGACAACGACAATGAGAACGGTGAGGAACTCTTTGAATCTGAAGGCGGTGAATCGACGAGAAATTTATTTGGCAGTGCAAGGGACGCCGTTTTGAGTATCGTTCGTAAAGCAGCTGAAGTTCTCGTTAAAACGGGCGATTTGAGTCGAAATAATATCACGAAAATTCAAGAAAGTATCAGAGGTGATTTATTTCAAAGTTCCTTTACCAGTTGCACAACACCGAGATATGCGATCGTCTGTAAAAATTGTTCGGACGATAGATTCGCCCGAGTTTTTCAACTATTGAGTTGTAGACATCGCGATCTGAGTTCTCTGCTTGATAAAAATCTGATAAAAAATACGTTACGTGACAGTCACCTTTGCTTTACTCAAACCGGAAAATCCGAAGAGGATGAAGACTCTTGTAAGGCCCGTGATCTTCAAGCGACATTTCTCGCCTCTGTTCTCACACCCGATTACCTCATTGCACTTTGCAATGTCCTAGCCGCCAAAGACGGAAAAGTTGTTCTCAATTCAAGCGACGAAATTGCCCCAATTCCCGACAATGGAACACTGAAGGAAGAAATCCTCGGATCGAAGGAAGAGAAACGTGATTTTTCAATTGACAACGTACCCAAAGTGACGCCTCCCTGTTCACTCGACACCACTTCCCCGGCTTGCAAACCAACCATTAACATTCAAGAACGTCACAGCAATTCCAATGAGAATTTAGACAAAGAATCCGAATCAATTTCAGTAACTCTTGTCGAAGCTTCAACGACTAATGAAATTCTCACAACCCAAATAAAACCCACGAAAACATTGAATAATGAGGAAACAAAAAAGGAAGTGCCCGTTCTGGAACCAAGTAAGGATCAAATTGACACGCCCGAAATTGTGACCACTTTATCGCCAAATAATGCCCCGAGTCCGGTTATCAAGCAACAGGATGATTTTGCAACACAAAGTGAAATAGTGGGCAAAATTGAGAACACAATTCACGTTTCTTCGACTCTTATCACTAATAATGAAGCGGAAAAGACTGACATTGAGGATAAAGAAACGCAGGTGAAAATTCAGGAGGTGAATAAATTGGTTGATGTGAAAATTGAGGGACAAGAACAAACTAAATTAGATTTAGGTGAGGAGGTTAAAATTCTCTCTCAGGAGCAAATGAATTTCGATAGTCTTCTATCTGATTTTAAAGAATTTGAGGGAGATTCCGTTAATAATGGACAAAGTGGCAGTGCATCTGCAGCACAACCCACGGCTAGTTCTACACCTCAGCAGAAGGAATCCGTTTTTCTTAGACTCTCGAACAGAATTAAGGTATGATTTAAATTATTCTTTAGTTGTTAAATAAGAATAATAATTCTTACGAAAATAAATACCTATAGTTATTTCTCTAAATTTTAATGAATGAAATATTTTTTTGTGTTCGAATATTTTTCAAAATACTAGAATGAAATGAAAAATATTGTAATTGAAAGTTTGAATTTCTTATGAATTTTATGTTTTATTTAATTGTTTATTTTTTCAAATTTCTCAAAGAATTTTTATTTTCAATGTTCCAAAAGCTTCTAAAACTAAATTCGTCGTTCGAAAATGAACGACGTTATTTTTGTTACTTCTTGTAATTTGTATTTCTTTATAAAAAAAAATAACTTCACATTAAAACAATAAGTGCTTAACTAAGTAAACGTTTCATTTTTATTATGTTTTATTTCAGTATAATAATTTTTGAAAATATTTAAGTAAGAAAACTCTCTTTACGTTTTATCACGATCAACACTTTAGGAAAATTATTTTAACGAATTTTTATTTGGACAATTTCTCATTTAATAAATTTTGAATTCATTTCTCCTTTAAAATTAATTTTTATTTAACAGTGTTAGGTAATTAATGAGTTAATTAATTTACCAGATTTCTTTTTTAAGGAATATTTATTCACTATAATTGATAAATCATAATTGATAATCATAATCATAATTGGCGTCTTAGCCCAGTGTAATAATTTTACGAAAACTTTAAACATGTGTCAAGTTTTCAAAAATGTGATATTTTTAAAAACGGGGAGACAATTTTCTCAAAATCTACTGAAACGATGTAATAAAATCAAAAACCATTTGATTCTTCATTTGTTAATTTCACATTTTTACCCCTTGTTATTTTCTACGGGGGTAAATTGACCCAAAAAACACTGTATTTTTTCTATTGTTTCAAAACAATTCCTTCAAAGAATTTTATTAAATTTTTCAATTGTTTCGTATAATTTCTTTGAATTTTTTGAAAAAAATTGAGTTTTTAAAAATAATTTTAATTGAAAATTTTGAAAGTAATTGAATTATATGAAGAATTTCTTGCAAGTTTTTTAAATAATCGTGTTTGTTAATAATTAAGTGAGTTATTTAATTATTTAATTTCTAAAAATAATTGAATCCTTTCAAGAAATTTTATTAAAATTTATGTAAAAAATAAACAATAATAATTAATTAATTAAGAACTTAATAAGTAAATGTTTTAATTATAGTAAATTTTGTAGCGTCCGAGTGGTTTTAATAATAAGACAGAAAAAACGAAGACATTCAAACAAAGATTTCTTTAAAGTTACTCCAACGTTTCAAAATTCACAGATTTCCTCTTCAGGGAGTCAATTTATCAACAGTCAGAACTTTAATTAGTCATTTCTAACGAATTTTAATTTATTTATGACTACTTTAAGTTCTGACTGTTGCTAAATTGACTCCTTGAAGAGGAAATTTGTGGATTTCGAAACGTTGGAGTAACATTAAAGAAATCTTTGATGAATGTCTTTTTTCGTTTTTTTAAAATTTTGAATCTAAAATTATTCAAAAAATAAAATTGATATTTGAAAATAAAAAAAATTTTAATTTGCAATCACAAATGACAAATTATTATTTATTCGTTGTTACTATTTATATAGTTAATTATGATTATATTTTTCATTAAAACTTTTGGTATTAACAATTTTATGTTTGAAAATAATTCTCATTCATTTATCAACATATAGTAATAATAAATGAACTTTGTCTTAGAAATTAATTTACAATTTGGCATGATGTTGCACTTTCCTCTGGCTAGATTGTAAAGATTGTGTACTAAATTTACGTAAGCAAAGTTTGAATATCTCGCGCAGACGACTGAATCCAATTAAACGTGAGAAAACAAGTGATGTAAATATCGCTTGCTGGGTGTAAAATCATGATACCTCGGATTAGCGTTGAAAAACATGATACCTCGGTTTTGATTTGAAAAACATGACATATCGTCGTTTGGTTTGAAGAACATGACACGTCGAAAACAAAAAATTTTTATTCAAATTTTGGTTGGTACCACTGACCGCGAAATTTAAAATGTGTCAAATATTTGAAACTTATATGAAATAAATAATTTCGCTTCATAATATGTCAGGTCGAAGGAGAATAAGGTAAAATAATTTTTTATAACAACAGTTACAATTCATAAAAATATCAATTCGAGAACCCTGTTTAAAAAATTTGATAGAAATGGAAAGAAAAAAATTTCTTTCCATTTCAATCCTGTTTCTGAATCAAAAATTTTCAACAATTACAATCAGTTTCTATCACATAATTTTAATAGAAAGTCTATCCAAATCAATACTTTGTCTATCCGAAAATTGTCCCATGCGTTGTCCCACTGATTTCGAAGAAAGTCCTATCAAATTCTATCAAAATTGATTATTAAAAATTGTTTCCAATCCAATAAGATTTTTTGATTTAAATTCTATCAAATCCTGTATCGAAAAATAACAAAAAGTTCTTTCCCATTGTATCCGATTGAAAACATAGTTTTAAAAAAAAATTTGTGGAAAAAATAATAAAAGATTCTTATGACCATTAGTAACATTATATTCTTAGCACACTCCAAACATACAAACATTCTAAATTAAACTGGAGGAATTAAATTAAAACTTGTACCCTATGGGAATCGAACCCCGCACCTATGACCTATCTATCTAAACGCTTAACGACCGCGGCTATCGAATCGACGTGAGAAATATTTTTCGACCTGTCTATATTAACTGCAACTTTGAAAAACGTAAGTTTATGTAAAATATTATAATTTTTGTAAGTACCTAAAAAAATACAAGCAGAAATTAAAATATTTATAGAGATTTGCAATATATGCTATTATGTTAAAAATATTAATTAAATATTTAATACATTTTTGCTCAAATGTCATTTGACCGCTTTGTAATTTTTTGCAAATATTTGCAAAAAATAACATTAAGCGAAATAAAAAACAGAAAATTCGTAAAAATTAAAATTCGCAAAATGACTGGGTCAGGCCAGCTCAACTGTGTTAAAAAAATTTCAATGATTTTCTAAAATATTAAAACTTTTATGAAACTCTGTAGTTCACAACAAAACAATAAAACACTTTTAATCGTTTTTTGAAATTTTTGTTATTTTTTTGCATTAACAAAATATTACAAACTTTAAAAAAAATTAATAACTCAAAAGTCGTTTACCATAAATTAATAAAATTAACACTGATTACACAAAATTGTTCACTCTTTTAAAAGAAAATATTTGCATGATTGTAAATTTAAAAATTCCCTATTTTTAATAACAATTTTATAAACAATTTGAATTATTTTTGTGTTCTCTACCCCTCCAAATGCAATAAAACTCATAGGAAGTATACTCAGTAGTCTTTTCTTGAAGCTCCTAATAAACAATTTTGGTATTTTCAATTTGGAATGTACCTAACGAATTTTTTATTAAAAACGCGCGTCCACTCCACAATGGGAAAAATTTGATTGTCGTGGAAAATTCAGTCTAGAAGTTACAAATATTATTTGTTTTTAATAAATTTTTTTAAATGAAAGTTTATAAAATTGTGCACCAATCAGATTAAATCTGATATCTTAACTTTAAAAAATATTATTGCTACGCATTTGTTAACTAATATTTTGGAAATTTTTTCCTCTTTTGTTCATATATGTTGTTAAATAAAAAATATTTGTTAACAGTTTTCAAAATTCTACCGCCACAGATCGGTGCGCAATTTTACAAAATTTCATTTAAAAAAAAAATTATTAAAAACAAATAATATTTGTGACCTCTATAGACTGAATTTTCCACAACAATCAACTTTTTCCCACTATGGAGTTGGCGCGCGTTTTTAATAAAAAAATTCGTTATGTACATTGGGAGCGTTCACAAATGATGTCACGTTTTTGGGGGGAGGGGGGGTCTCCACTAAACGTGACACAATGAATTTTTACATGTGAAATTGCATGAAATTGAGAAAATTTTTTAACACAGTTTAGCCGGTCTGACCCTACTATTGGCAAAATTACAAATAGCAACTGTAACAAATTCATAAAAATATCAATTCCAGAAATGCAAATTTGCAAAAATAAAATTTGCAAAACAACAATTAGCAGAAATAATGATTCATAACAGAGCAGTTTTGCAAAAAAGAAAAAATAACAATTAGCAAAAGTATCTAACAATTTGTAAAACTGTCAATTGCGAAGAATGCAAGTTTGCAAAAGTAACAAATTTGCAAAATAACAGTTTAGTAAAATAAATATTTGTAAAAATGTAAATTTGCAATAATAATTTTTTGCAAAAATAACTATTGGCGAAAATGACAATTTTATGAATTCCAATTCGCGATTAATCAAACTCTTTAAATTCCAAATAGAATGCATCCCCGAATAAAATTAAACCAAGATGACATTATTCAAGATCCAAACTCAAGCTTGTTGATTTTTAATTTGACATGACAAGTGAAATTTCATGTGGAAGGAATTTAATAGGTGTTCCATCAAAACTCATAGATAGAAAGTTATAAGACGTTTCAGATAATAGGATTTGGTAGAAAATGTATCCAGATCTTTGATAGAGAAATATAGTATTTTCTTGTTGAAAGAATTTGATAGGTATTCAATCAAAACTCATAGATAGAAAATTATAAGATTTTTCGACTCATAGAATTTGATAGAATTTGTATCCAAATCTTGGATAGAGAAATATTAAATTTTCATTTGGAAAGAATTTGATAGGTATTCAATCAAAACTCATGGATAGAAAACTATAAGAATTTTCGACTCATAAAATTTGATAGAATTTGTATCCAAATCTTGGATAGAGAAATATTAAATTTTCATTTGGAAAGAATTTGATAGGTATTCAATCAAAACTCATGGATAGAAAACTATAAGAATTTTCGACTCATAAAATTTGATAGAATTTGTATCCAAATCTTGGATAGAGAAATATTAAATTTTCATTTGGAAAGAATTTGATAGGTATTCAATCAAAACTCATGGATAGAAAATTATAAGATTTTTCGATTCATAGAATTTGATAGAATTTGTATCCAAACTCTTGATAGTAAAATATTGAATTTTAGTATATTATTAACTTTGATAGATAATACATCAAAACTTATGATAGGAATGGATTTAATTTTCTACTTTGGATAGAAGTGGATTGGATTTTTAATATTTGATTAAATTGGATTCGAATTTCAAGGATTGAAGGAAGAAAATTCTATCCAATCCTATCCATTTAAATAATTTTTTTAAACAGGGAAATGCAAGTTAGCGAAACAACAATTACCAAAAATAACAACTCATAACAAAACAATTTCGCAAAAATTAACAATTAGCAGAAGCATCTATCAATTCTTTAGACTGTTAATGCGAAGAAAGCAAGTTTGCAAAAATAACAGTGAAAAAATTAATATTTTGTAAGAATGGAAATTTGCAAAAATGACAATTTACAAAATAACAATTGGCGAAAATAACAATTCTGTGACTTCCAATTCGCTATAAATCAAACTCTTTAAATTTAGACTTGAAATTCCACATAGAACTGAATGTATCCCCGATTCAAATTAAACTTAGCTTGATGATTTTTAATTTGACATGTCAAGTAGAATGTAGTATTCGAGAATCCAAATTGAACCAAGTAGATACTTAAACTTAATTTTTGTATTTGGAATTGCAAGCTGATACTTTTAGTATGTGCGAACTTGGAAATGCAAGTAGAAATTATAAGATTAGAAATCCATGTTAAAACAAGTCGAAACAAAAATTGAAGAGGACAATCCAGAATAAATCCATTTCAATTTTATATTGGATATTCATTTCAGTTACATAAATCGGATTTCGAAGTTAAAACCAGTAGACACCAGTAGATCCATGTTCAATTTCTACTAGTCTCAACTGGTTCTTTAATATAGGGAATTAAAATAAATTTCATGTCGTGAAATATTTAAAATTATACACGGAAAAAAAAAGTTCACGAATCTCTCGTGAACTAGTATATCACTTTTGGATGGGACACAAAATTCTTGAAAATCAACAAACACAGTTCGTCAAAATTTCATCAACTCCTTCACTAGAAACATAGTACGGTTTCCGAACTTTTCGTCAAAGTTAACGAAAAATTCGTGAACTTTTAAAAAATGCTAAAAACAAGAAAAAATAATTTTTAGACACTACTTTTTTATAGTATTTCACTTAGGGCCGTCCATAAACCACGTAGCCCCATTTTTTGGGAATTTTGACCCCCCCCCTCCCCCATGTAGTACGCTATTACATGTATTAGCGCCATTTTTTCCTCTTGTCGTAGTCAATTGATTGACCCCCCCTCCCCCTCAAGAGGCTACGTGGTTTATGGATGGCCCCTTAATTTGATAACTTGACGCCTATTACGCACCCAACTACACAGAATACACAATTTTATCGCCATTAAAATTCGTAATTCGCTTCATGGGATTCGAACCTAGTACCTATACCCTATAACATAATATTTCTAACAACTAACCGCCACGGCTAAATCTAGATACACTGTCCTTCGACAAACGAAACGATTAGCTTTGTCTGCTGTAAAACTCAGGACCGTGCAAAGTAGAAAAAGTCCCTTATCTTAACTTTTAATTCATTTTATGAATTATTTGTTTCACAAAGGAAATTAGCAAACAAAAATATTCACTAAGTAATAAAAAACACTGATTCTAAATAATAACTTTCATCAAAGAATTTGCCCGAATGTAAACACCGATGACACCGACTGAATGATGAATGCTTGATCAGCCATATTTGATGCGCATTACGAACTGCGCATACTACTGAAACTCGCGAGTTCACGATTTTTTCGTCAACTTGTACCTCTACTTTTGACGAACTACTCTTCATTAACAGTTCATCAAAAATTCATTAACTTTGTTTCAGTTTTTCGTTGACGTTCGCCATTTCTAATCAAAAGTGAATGAAAATTTTGAAATTTTGTGTCCCATCCAAAAGTGATATACTAGTTCACGAGAGATTCGTGAACTTTTTTTTCCGTGTATGAGTAAAGTGCAAGATTTTACTTTGATTTTAATCTCTTATCATATATTTTTTAAAAATGTAATATAACAAATCATTTTAAATTTCGCGGTCAGTGGTACCAAACAAAATTTCAATAAAAAATTTTTGTTTCGACGTGTCATGTTCTTCAAACCAAACGACGATATGTCATGTTTTTCAAATCAAATCCGTGGTATCATGTTTTTCAACGCTAATCCGAGGTATCATGATTTTACACCCAGCAAGCGATATGATGTAAAACTATTTTCACGTATTATCCCGTTACGTTTTGTTTTTATTGAATTACGTGCACGTGATTTGAATGTTTTTTGTTCAAGACAAATAAAAAAAAAATAAAATTTAAAAATTAATTAATTATTTTTAATTTTTAATTTTTTTTTTTTTTTTAATTTATTCCAATAAAATTAGAAATGAGATTAGATATTAATTTTAGAAAACGTTGGAAAACAATTTTGAAAAAAAAAATTATTATCCATCAGATTACTTTTTTATCTGTTAATTTTCTATAAATTTTTTCCATTAGCTTTGGTACTCGATATTAATGAATTGTTTATTTTTAGGCACTCGAACGTAATATGTCACTGAGTGGTCAATATTTGGAAGAATTGAGTCGAAGATATAAAAAGCAAGTGGAAGAAATGCAACGCTCTCTCGAACGTGCAACGTCAGCAATGAGCGAAGAATCGCGTAAAGGCGAAGAACGTGATTTAAAAAGAATGGAGGAAATTGCAGCGCTTCGTGAAGTGATTAAAAGTCTTTCAATATCGGTAGAGAGTCTCGTTTACGATCGTGACAGTTGGCAAAGTAAATTATATTATCTCGGCGAACATGTCATTCTCATCTGTATAAATATCATTATCATCAGTTTCATTATTTCCTATTATCGAAGAACAATTGATTTCGATGATGAAGACGATGAAGATAGAGAAATAAATGTATTTACTGAAAATAAAATAAAAACTCGTCGAAAACCCACTGATTTTCTCAGGGAAAAAACAGTTTTACCGAAAAAATCCAAGAAACGAAGACCTAGTGAAATTGCCAATAATATTGCCGGCACATATGAAGAATTAATGATTGAAGATCAAAGATTAGTGACAAATTCACGTAAAGAGAAGAAGAGAAAACGAAAAAGGGAATTAACATTTAAAATCTCCAATGGAGACACCAAAGGTAACATTGTACGTTACAAAGAAGTTTTTAGTAATAATTTACCACCGAGAAAAATTTCTTCAAGTTCAATCGTTGCGAAGGAAATGGTAAATTTAAATGATAATAAACCTGATTCTACGTCTGAAAATAGGGTTAATGATAATCTCACGAATAGAATTGAAATTCTATCAACAGAATTAGATGATAGTGATCGAAATTCTTCAATACCAAATGAAATAAATTCAAATAAAACTATTTATACAGTGTCAAGTAATGAAGTTGAAGCCGAACCCATTAAAAAGGGGTTCAAATCGAAATTATCGTCACCATCGTTTATGAAAACGGCACTTGGATCCCGTAGTAAAAGATTTTCATCGTCGAGGAATAATGAACGAAAATCGGAAATTTCAGATAGAAATAAATTTAGAATTCAGGAGAATAATTCTAGTCTTCGAATAACAACAACAACAACAACAACTGCTGATGGACATTTAAATGGTTCAACGGCCAATGGTTATGCGGATGAGAGTGACCGAAGTAGTAGTGCAACGCCAAATTCGGAAAAAAAAGAAAAGAAAAGTACTGGCTTGAGGAAAATGGTGAGAAAATTGTTTTGATTGAAAGTTTTTTCTAATTGCAAAAATTGAAGTGAGAGGACATTTTTGAATAAGAGACATTGAAAGACAGTGAAGAAAGACTGTACATATTGTAGAGTGCCATTTGATAATTTTTCATCAAATGAATTAGAGAAGAGAAAATTTGTCACGGTATTTTCGCTAGATCTTCACTTTTATAAGCTTTTTTGCTCATAATTCAAGTCATTTCTCATTTTACAGTGCTAATTTTTCTTTCTTCATTAATTAGCAATATTATACTTGAGCCAAACAAATTTAGTACATAAATTAAAACGTATTTTTCTTTTAATTTTAGTCAACTATTAGAAAAAATATTTTTATTTAAAAAAATGCAATTTTAATTAAATTTAAAAAGTATTTGCCTTATTTTTTATTCATTTTATTTAAAAATAATTCAGTTTTAGTAAAATTAAATTTTTAATTTTCATTAAATTCAGAGATTTTTCTACATTTTAATTTTTTTCTTAATCCTAATTAGTCAAAATTTATAGGTATAAAAATAATTCAATTTTAGTAAATTAAAATTTTTCTATTATTTAAATTTAATAAAATATTACAATTTTTAGTGAAATTTTTAGTTATTATAAAATTACTTTTTTAATTCTAATTGAATTAAAAATTGCTTGTTAAAATTAGACACTGTAAATTATAGAAATTGCTTTTCTAGGTAGGGAGATAAATTATTAATATTTTTAGATCAATTTTTTCGCATTAAAAGCATGTGTCACGTACATGCACCAATCGAAAGATATAAAAATATTTTTTGTTTTTTTTTTAAATTAATTAAATTTTTAAATAACTTAATAATTGAAATAAGAAAAGAGAATAAAAAGTGTATAATTTTTTTAATTGAATTACTTTAATAATTCAAATTAAATAAATCAGTGAACTTGAATTTCATACTTTTGTTATATTCAAAAATATATAGGTAAGAATTTGTCTTACATAAAGTTTACTTACAAATTTATTTATAATAAACTTTATTTATTATAAAGTTTTTTCTATTTTCATTTTTATTAAAGTTTTATCGACAACGCTTTAAGTGACACATCTCATAAAAAAGTCTCTAATAATGATAAATTCGTAATTGCTTTGAAATGTATCTATATATAATTTGGGTTTTTTTTCCTTTTTTGAATATTTCAGGAGAATCAAAATTTAAAAGAAGAGAAGGTACAGAAAAGGAGACAAAATAACAGTGGTATTTAAAAGAAAAAAATACTTGTGAGACCATGATTGATATAAATTCATTTCACAATTGCAATTTAAATATTACGCAAATATATTTTCGGGTTTGAAATGTATTTTTGAGAATATTTTATTAAATAATTTCAAAAATTATTTTTTTATAAAAACTATTTCAAAACACGAAATAAATTACTTTTATCTGTGGGTTTGTGTACGTGTATGTGTATGTGTGCGGAAAAAAAAGGAAAATTTATCACCCGATTGACTATAGATATTTAAAAATGACTGTAGATACATTAGACTAGGTAGGATATCAAATTAACTCAATGACGATGACTAATAAATATCGATTTGAAGAAAAAAAGAGTAAGAGAATGATCTTTGCACAATATTATTAAACGATCATTCTAATTACTAATCTATATTAATTACCAAAGAGAGTTTTTCTTTTTTTTAATATAATAATAAAAGCAGAATGAATTTGTTTTGATGAATCTCTAAAAAATATTCCGGATATTTTTATTGGAAAATTGCCTTGTAAAAAAATATTCGGAATTAATTTTTATTATTATTATTTACTGAATAAATAATAATGATACTTATTCAACACTAAGTTTTATCATGAACGCACAATGTGTTTTTTGGATTAATGAAAATGTGTAATATATTGATTCAAGTTAGTCATTTTTATCAATTCAGAGCAGTTAGAAAGAAATTGTTTGGTCTTTTAGAAAATAGAAACTAGTCAATAACAAAAATTCGTCTCTAAAGATTTCATTTTTAAATTTTTATTTTCTTAAAAGGAGAAAGTCTACTGTCAATTTAGTTTCTTTTTTTTAAAGTAATGAAATGTGAAGAGTAAACCTTGCCTGAATATATATATCGTAATTTTGCAGTAATACTCTCTGTGATAATTTGCTCCACAATTAAATGCAAATGAAAAAATGAAAAAAATATTTCTTTTTTGTAAAGAAATAGGAGCGTTGATCTGAATACTTAAATTCTGCATGAAGAGCGTTATTTACGATTAATGTGCATTTATTGATAACTTTTTGTTTTAATATTCAATCAATTTTGAGTCGATATATGAAAGTTTATGTTGTTCTTCGAATAACGTATTACGTTTTACATGATTGAGTTATCGCCGCAATCATTATTTAAATACGTAAATATAAATTATTCTCAATATTGTCGTGTGTGAATTGTAAAATTATTATTTTTTCTATTTATAGCAAATTTACGGAATAATTTTTTTGTTTTTAGTAACGTACTTATTTTCCATTAGTGTGCATAATACGATATACAAGAAAATGTTTTATGTTAATGAAAAATGTACGCTTGCGGTTTTTTTTCTTTAATTTTTTTCTCTTTCAAAAATTGTAGGCAATTTTTTTTGCAAAAGTCTTAGATAAACAGAAATTTTACTATTAGGGCAATTGAAAAGATATTTAAAAAATTACATTTTTTTTATCTTTTCTTTAAATTTTGAATATTTGTTTTTTGGGGAAAAACTATTGCTAGTTAATTGCCTGGAATTTTTCAAGTTCTCACTTGGCAGATCCAATTATAAAATTATAACAATGACAATATAAAATAAAAAACTAAATATACAACATTTTGGTTTAATGTAGCGTCATCTCTTTTTGATAATTAAATATCAGGAAGAAGATTTTCTTTAATAAAGTTGAAAATTTATTGATAAAATAGCCCAATGAGAAAATTATTTTACTTGAAATTTTAAAGTACCTAGTACTTAAGTTCCTCGTATTTTTTTTAGCTATTATAATTATTACTTACAAAATAAACAGTATTACGCATATGTTTTAATTTTCCATACTTGTAAGCTTAGTTTTCACTAGATTTTTTTTCCAATTCAATTTACCGTAAAATCTGTCAATTTTCCTTCTATTAGAAAAGTATTAAATCACAAATAAATTCGGCGTAAAACAATTGAAAAGCAATGCCAATAATTATAAAAGCAAATATTTTATTTGTAAATAATTCCTTATTTATTGTAGAAAAAAACTATTTTTTCCGAGTAAAGAAATTTTTAAATGGCTATTTTACCAATATTAGAAAATAAAATAAAATATTGTAAATATGCATCAGCATCCCGTGTAGAAATTTACCGTGGAAGTGTATGAGAAACTGTCCAGTTGCGCTAGATTCAATCTAGCAACTAGATGGAAAAAATGGACAGGCTTGAACGAGGGATGCAACGTCAAGATTTTGTGCAGTTATTTTGTCTAGTCCTTGTCTAGTAAAATAAATCATTCCTAGCCAGTTCCTCGATATTAAAATAATCAGTTTCTACATACTGGGAATAATTGTTAGGTTTATAAATAATAAAAGAATATTTTTCAACTTTACTCTTTTGTTTGTTTAACTTTTAAACAAACAAAAGAGTTATACAAAAGTATTTGTTATTATCACAATTTCTCTTACAATTATTTTTGAAATTAATAAATTGTAACTAATTTTGCTACATTGGATTTTTTCTTTAAAACACAAACACATTCACTATAAAGATTCGTACTTGTATACCGATAATAAAATGAATTGTATATTATATTGTTGCAATCACAAAAAATTCACTTAAAATTACCAAAGTTTTATTACTTATTATGAACATTATAATATGAAAAACAATCTGAGACTATGAATGATGACATCACATGTCCTTTTTCTAATAAATCTTCTTTTCGCTGTAATATATTTAAACTTGTACACTGTCCCTGTTCAAAAATGGAAAACTGAAAACTTTTTACTAGATTTGTAAATTTGATTCTATCTTCAAGGCCTTTCTCCAATAGGTTTTAAAAAGTGTGCGAATGACTGCGTCTGCGTCGGTTGCTATAGCAACACATGCTAAAATCAACGCAACGCAGTCATTCGCACACTTTTTAAAACCTATTGGAGAAAGGCCTTCAAGGAGAGTCCAGAATAGAGTCGACGTCGGTATAAACGCGCTGATACTAACGCGCTCCTCCTATGTATTCCATATGGACGAGCGCGTTACTATCAGAGCGTAGCTTAGTTGACTCTCAGAGCCACCTTCTCCACGAACTTGTACTAAATTCTTAAGTCAGCGTCCTAGACAGTGCCTAGCTAATTCTTGGACAACCTGCTATACGAACTTGTACTGAATTTTTAATTCAGTATCCTAGACAAATTTTAGCCAGATTCTAGACTGTCTTCATAGCGAAGAAAATAAAGGGGAAAACTGTACATTAACATTTCGGGGCCAGGACAGTTTTTTCAGAATAATTTTCCACGACAAATGCTATCTAGCTGTAGTCTATTTCTAGGAAGGCCACGACAAATTTCTACACGGGATTATTCTATTTACTGTAAAAATTAAAACTGTTAAAAATTCGATTTGCTTTTGAAGCAAATTTCGATATACATCGTTAGTTGTAAACAATTATTTATTAATCCATAAGGCTGTTATACATAAAGAGAAAAAAAAGAGTGCATTCATTTTAAAAAGTCGGCTCTCCCCGTGTTGATTGTTCAAATCGTATCTGCAATATTGCTCGGTGTAAATGTGACATTAACGATATTTATATAGAGAAAAAATAATAATTAAAATAATATTTAAGACACGTGTGTGAAAATATGATTTATATTCTAACAAGTGAGGTTAACAAAATTAAAAAAATTTGTTCAACTGGAATTAAATTGTTTATTTTACTTTGTGTGTGTGTGTGTGTATGTTTTTTTGTTTCGTCTGTTGTATTTGATAAATATGCTTCTTATCGTATGTCTGCGAATTTTAAACAGAATGAAAAATAAAGTTGCCAAAATGTATAAGTAGTATTACTTTGTTCTTCAGTAGGTATTATTATCATTTTTCTTTATAATTTATTAAATAATCCCGATTCCACGAGAAATTTTGTTTATAAAATAAATTTCCTTAAAAATTTGAATAAAATTCTTGGAAAAAAATTTGATATAATTTGTTTCTTAGAGTGTAATAATTATTTTCAATTCATTTTTAATTACATTTCTTGAATGAATTTAATTATTATAAAAAATTTTAATGCTTTTAAATTTTAATGCTCTTTATAAGAATTCAAATTTAAGAAATATTCAACTATTCAATAAATTATTTATTTTTGTATTTGAAAAATTTCATTCTCGTAGAACTTTCTAATAAGAATTGATTTAGAATTGAATAAAATAAAATGATTAAAGTTTTGAATAAAAATAAATAAATTTATTAATTTCATCAAAAAAATGATTGAATTTTGAAAGAATTACTTTTGTAATTTTTAGAAATAGTTACATTGAAATCATTTGAAATATTTTAATTCTTGTAGACAAAATAAATAGGTAGGTATTTAAATATTTATTTAAAAAAATTATTCTATTTTTGAATGTAATTATGAAATTATAAAAAAATTGAGTCGTCAAGTTTAATTTTTCGATAGCTATACTTTTTTAAAATTAATTATAGAGTACGAATTCTTTTCTTGAGACACTTTAAATTGATTTTGAAGTATGAAATTTTTAAATTTAGTTATTTGTTAATAAAAAGTTTTTTATCTATAAAAATTCAGTGAAATGAGCAATACGCCTAGTGTTAGATAAAAAACAATTAATTCTTTAAATACTTCTCAATAATATTATTTTATAAATTAATCCTAATTTTTTTGTAGATATTTCATAAATATTTGTATTCATTCATATTTATTACATGGTTTTATGTACATACAATAATTATTGTTTTAATATAAAAAATTTTTAGACAAATTTTACAAAATATTGTTCTCATATTTTGTAGAAGAAATATTTTTTTACAAAAAATGTGTAACAAATTGTTACCCTTCTTTCAAAATACATTTATATAATTTTTATTATAAAAAATTTCATTCAATAGAAAATTTAAACTTTATTTTAAATTATGTTTGCAAAAAAATATAATAAACAAAATCATTTTTCAATGGAAAAAGTTTCAAAAATTTTCGAAACGTTTATTAAATTGTCAGTGGATAATTTTTGCTCGTTCGCTTGTTTATTTAAATTAATAGCTGCCGTTTTTATCCTACTATTCCATTCGTCAATTACGTATGAATTCATGGAAGATATAATTACTTCATTCACATCGCTTTCAAGTGAACAACTCGAAACAAATTTAAAGACATTTTTAAGATTATCAATGACACCTTGTCTAAGGGCTTGATTTCTTACAACGAGATTTAAAATAAAAAGTCCATCATTCGTGAGAGTTTTTACAACTGTATTTAATACAGAATCTTCAATGAATTGTTTTGGTGGACAACTCATTCCCAATGATACATCTTTATTATCGACATCAAATAAAATTGCGTCAAATTTTCTTTTATTCTCAGCAGAATCGTGAAGAAATTTAATTCCATCTGCTATTTCTACTTTTAGATTTTCAGTTTGAACTAAACCAAAATATTCTGTCGCTATTTTCAATATCTCCTTGTCAATCTCAACTGCCGTTATTTTTAACTGTAATTAAATTAAAGATTTGAATAATAAATATTCAACCTATTTAAAATTTTAATTGATGAGCAAGTTTGTTATGTGCGAAATGAAACAAAGGTTTCATTTCAATTCAAGTGATCTAATTAAAAAAATGGATTTATAAGGTTTTGAAAACTGGCCCTTCAATTATTAATGTAAATTAAATATTTTGTAAAGAAAGAGAAAAATTTAGTAAAAGTTATTCCATAAAATTGAAAATATGTACCTTTGGAAAACAGTGGGTCAAAAAAGTGCAAAGACCACCACCACCTAGACCAACGACAAGTGCTTCTGGATCAGTTTTTATACTTGTCAATGAACTTACAGCAAGGCTCATACTAATATGATGCTCACAAGCTAAAAATCCGGGATCAACAATTTTCTTCATTTTTCCTCTTCTGGACTTTGCTAAAAATAAATAAACAATTAAATTGGTAATTAATTAAATTACCAATTTAATTAATAAATATTAATTACATAATTACTAAGAATATTTATTCAATTCACAATTTTGAAAACGAAACGTTTTTCTTTGTGCTATTGAAAAGATAATCTTACTTATTTTTATTCTTGCTTCACTTTGAATAGTAAATTGATTATTTAAAAAAAGTAATCGTCTGTATATAACGGAATTTTCATCTTCTATTTCTTCCACGACATAAGCGCCACTCATTTCGCTTGTCCCTTCGCAACAAACAAGGCGCTTTCCAACATCAGAACCAAGAGACAAAAATGGAATTTCATTAGCGCCAAGTCCTATTGGAGCTAAATTGATGACACTGTCATTTATTTCCTTCTTCACTGCTTCCATATTATCGAATTTGTGTTCTCTACGCAATACCACAACAGCTAATCTATCTCTTTGCGTGCTTTTTAAAAGATGTTGTCTCCCTTCTTTTGTACTGAACAGCCAATCTGATTCTCTAATGAAAATTGTTGATTTAATTAAAAAATAATCATTAAATTTTTTATTAATATTAATTAGTAATTCATTAATTATTCTTTACTAATTCAACTAGGTATGTAGTTATTTTTTAATTGAATCAAATTATTAATTTACTTAATTTTTGTTATTTTTTTAAACAAAGAAATCAAGATGAAAAATATTGTGATCGAGGAAATATGTTTTGTGTCTTAATTTTATTTATTCGATTAAAAATATTACCTTCCTTGTGGAACTATAAAAGCCGCGTATGTTTTTTTACTTTTTGAAGGCTCATCGACGACATAAAGTGTATATCTTGGAATTGTTTCGCCTGGTCGATATAAATCGAGAGAGACTTCTCCCACGTCCGCGACACTTCCTTTATAAAGTGTATTACAAATTAGAGCCGATTCTTGAGTTGAATTAACTGCAGATATAATTTCTTCTATCGTCTGAACTCTTCTTGGTGGTCCATTGTCTAAAGCAATTTCTAGCACCTATAAATATAGTCAAACACTTTCCAGCAACAAATATTTATTACTATTTCTTTATTTACTTTTATAAATTATAAATATAATATACGCATAAAATTCTAATGGTTGTTTTCATTGGCTCCTTTATAAATATATTATTTTTAATTTATTATAAATATTATTTCCTTTAATTAATTTTTATTTATTATTTTTGGTGAAGATAAATTCGATCAATAGGAAGGTATCAAACATAAAAAAGGCTTATGTCATATTTAAAGTTGCGACGTTTCGATGGTGTGGTTTACCATCAGAATCATTACGATCAGTTTGACTTGATCGTTGTATCGAAATGACAGCATTCGTCGTGTGCTTGTCCGTTTTACGTTCACGTTTACGTGTTATTTATTTATTTGATTTTATGTTTATATTTATTTTTTTAATCTTGACTAGTTGAAATGTATTCTAAATTGTAATATTCAGCCTGAAGAGGATGGTAAACCACACCATCGAAACGTCGCAACTTTAAATATGACATAAGCCTTTTTTATGTTTGATACCTTCCTATTGATCGAATTTATCTTCACCAAATTACACATTCGGAAGGGAATTTTCTTTTTAATTTATTTATTATTTTTCAAAAATAATACTAATTGAAATCAAAATTCCTTATTATTTTTAAATTTATAAATAATTGAAATACCGGTTGGGATAATTTGTTGAATTTTGTCGCAACAACTATAAAAACGGGAATTGTAGAACCTTCTTCTTCCTTTGTTTTCATTTCTGCTTCAATACATCGTGACACTCGAAACATAAAACCTGCTGTGGGAAAGTAAGAAACTAATTTTTTTAAAATATGCTCTTGTAAAAGTGATATACACACGAATCTTCCTCCATTGCGTAAAACTCGATGAATTTCCTAAAAGTGAAAAAAATTTTTAATATTTTTTTAGCATGTATTTAAAATATTTATTTAATTTATTATAAATAGATATTAAAAAATTTTTAATAGGGTAGAGTGGGGTGAAAAGGCCAAGGTGTAAAAAAGCCATTTGAGTTTTATTTAAAAACTATTAAACCGATTTATCAGCTCTTTAGAATATAATTACTATTAGGTAATACGCAACTTTTGATTCTAGTTTGAATGAGTTGCTCTGCGCAAAAAATTTAAATGAATTGTGTAATCTACGAATAAATAAATAAATGATTTTTTAAAATACTAGATAATTGTAATATGAAGAAATATACTTGAAAAAATTTGTCGACTATTTCCAATGTTGCATCCGTAGTATCTGGCATAATTGCATCCAAAGTGCCTTTATCTAAAATGACGCTAAATTTCTCATCCGAATAAGTCATTTTAGAGACGTCCATTACCTCATAAGGAAGATCAGGTCTTTTCGATCTATTCCATTCCCTCATTTGTTTAATAACAACTTCAGATATATCAATATTTATCATATTTCTATAAAATAAAAGTTTACAAGTAATTTTCAAAATTTTGTTTTCATTTCATTTCATTGCATAGGGAGCGTTCACAAATGATGTCACGCAATTTTTCGGGATTTTAGACCCCCCCTCCCCCTGTCACGCAATTTCACATGTAAAAATACATTGTGTCACGTTTAATAGAGAACCCCCCCCCTGTCCCCAAAAACGTGACATCATTATTGTGAACGCTCTCATATGGCCATTTACCCTAATTAAGTTGCTTAATATTATTATCATAAATTTACAAAGATTTTTTCTAAAAAACCAAAAATTCCAGAATATGAAAATTTAATTTTTAATTTTAAACAATTATATTACAAAATAGTATTTTATATATCAATATTAAAAGAACACTAAACTGAAATTGAATTAAAAAATAATATTCAAAAAATCAATATTAATAAAATCGAAAGTAATTATGAACTATATTATATAAAAAATTATTTATTTATTTAACAAAATCAAGTTCCTAGAGCTTAAAGCCCTTCGAGGAACAAATATATATATATTAGGGTAGCCGTTAAAAACGACATTTTTGAATTTTGTCCATTTCCGGGTCTCATTTTGTCACAAATTGAAAAAAATTAGATACGTATTTTTTTATTTTTTTTAAAATTAATATTTAGTGGTGCCTGTAGGCTATTGAAATTTTGCATGTATTTTGCATGGGAAAAAAACTTTTTTTCGTAGATTTCCTGTAAAATCGTTGAAAATTTATTTATTTAGAAATTAACAGGCCGAAAAAAAGCCTTTAGATACAAATGAATACAATGAAAAAAGAAAAAAATGTGTTCGTAGACACTAGTTTTGTAATATTAGTGCTCGTTATTTAGTAATAAATTTTGTGCTCGAAGCTTCAAAGAAATCAATAGATGATACAGAATTAGCCTCACGAGAGACTCTACTAACATAAGAATTATAACCATAATTTGTCCTATGAATGCGAAAAATTAATATTTTTTGACTGGACTGCTCTGTTTATCTTCATAAATGTTCAAAGAATAATATACAATTTTATATATATTATATATATTTTGACTCCATCCTCCTTTGTTACACTTTCTACATAGTAAAAATTAGAAAATTACATGTTCTGTTACACTTAGATAGTTACACTCAGGAAAAAGGGTACATAAAAGTATGCTTCATTAGTTCACTTTAACTAATCGATTTATTAGAAATATTACTATTTGAATCAGAGATCGACTTTTTGTTATCAAAATAGTTATTTCTAATTAACTTAAATTTAGATAGAACTTTCACAAAAATTTTGTTGACTAATGGGATAAGATATTCCATAATTAAGTTTCATAAAAAATTATTAATTTTTTAAACATTATGCCCGCCATATTGGATCCGGCACCTTTAATTTTTGAAATCTGACTTCAGATTTGTAATCAGAGACCCCCAAAACCCCTTGACACCAAGTTTCCTAGAAATTGATTAATTTTAACATTTTCATGGCCGCCATATTGGATCCGCCATTTTGAATTTTTGAAATATGACTTCAGTTTTGTAATCAGCGACCTCAAAAACAATAGAAACCATGATTAGCACTTTAAATTTTTCTTTTTTTTAGAATTAATATTTTTTGCCAATAATAACCTATTTTGGTTTTTTTTGGTTAACTTTTGGGTTCTGTAAAAAATAGTTAACTTAACAAAATTTCATATGTTAAAAATTGTATATTATTCTTTGAACATTTATGAAGAGAAACAGAGTAGTCCAGTCAAAAATATTAATTTTCAACGATTTTACAGGAAATCTACGAAAAAAAGTTTTTTTCCCATGCAAAATACATGCAAAATTTCAATAGCCTACAGGCACCACTAAATATTAATTTAAAAAAAAATAAAAAAATACGTATCTAATTTTTTCAATTTGTGACAAAATGAGACCCGAAAATGGACAAAATTCAAAAATGTCGTTTTTAACGGCCACCCTAATATATATAAATAATTTTATTTCAGTAGATAACAATAAGTATAGTATATTTTAAATGGTATTTAATATAGTTGCGAAAAAGGTTGTAAAATTGGTTATTGTAAAACATTTAACAATGATAATAAATTTTTTAAAAAGTATATCGTAAAAAATAACAAAATTTTACCAATATGTTATATTTAACAAATTGTTTTTACATTTAAATAAGAAATCGAAAAACAATTTTTTAAATATGAATTGACTCGAAGCATCTCTAATGTTAACTAGTAACTTATTCCAAAGTAGCTCGTATGAGAAATAATTATGAGAAATCTCTCATACGAGCCTTTTTCGTAATGAGAAGTGTATATGTATACGAGGTGACTTTTAAAGCATTTTTATTAATGTAACACTATTTTAAAGTAAATGTAGATAATAGAAATGAATTTTCTCTTTTAAAACAAAGCTAAATTCATAAGGGAAATGAAGTTTTAAGAAAAAAAGGATAATTTTGTTCAAAAAATTTATTCACACTGAAAAAAGGTTAGAATTTGATAATTCCTTGTTTCTCTTACTTACCGACATTAGATATTTCTCGGATGCGGTAAGCACGATTTTGGATTAAATTTAATTATTTTATATAAGAACATTTATATAATAAATAAATAATAATATATTATTAATTAGTAATGAAGAAAAACTTATTTATTCTACCGCTAATACAAAATCGTGCTTACTGCATCCGAGAAATATCTAATGTCGGTAAGTAAGAGTAGCAAGGAATTATCAAATTCTAACCTTTTTTCAGTGTGAATAAATTTTTTGAACAAAATTATCCTTTTTTTCTTAAACTTCATTTCCCTTATGAATTTAGCTTTGTTTTAGATGAGATAATTCATTTCTATTATCTACGTTTACTTTAAAATAGTGTTACATTAATAAAAATGCTTTAAAAGTCACCTCGTATACAAGCATCTTACATCTATCCTCTCATTACGGAAAAGGCTCGTATGAGAGATTTCTCATATTTCTCATACGAGCTACCGAGCTCGTATACGAACTCCGCGGTCCGTGTATCGAATTTTTTTTACTGGGAGGTGCGATGGAAAGGTATTTTTAATACAGATTTTCTTTCTCGGAGTTTACTGCTAATTGATTCTTTAGCGTTCTTAAATTCGAGGAAATCATAAAGATATACCCAGGAATCTTATTATTAATAACATAGTATAGTAAATTTCCCATGAAATGTAAAAAATGTAATTGAATTGAAAGAATAAAACTTACTTGTAGCCAGCATCATAAAGATTCATACTAAGAGTGGAATTTCCACATCCAACAACAAGAATATCATCTTTGTGTTTTATATATTTAAATAAATATGAACATAATTCTGGATATTCGCCATACCTTGTAAACAAATAAATTATTAAAGTTAGAAATATAAATTATCTAAATTAGAATTAAATAATTACCATTCGAAAGATTTTTTTCCTCTTTTCTTAAAGAATGTATTCCAATAATCGGAAGTTTTAAATTCTTCATGAGATTTTGGTAACAGATTCATTGTTTTTCTTATGTATTTTTCGTATTTTTTAACGTTTTTAACACTAAGGTGTTAAAAATTGCAAAAACGTGACAGTAGAGTACCTAACCTGTTCAATTTGTTGATATTCGAAGAATGGTGTGTAGATTACTTTTTTACCGATTGAATTCAATTAAGTTCATTTAGTTCCACTTGTGCCCACTAGCGGGATGAGTAGAATTTACTGAAATTTACTGTGTTGACTGTAATCGATCCGAAAGGGACCAAAGATTTCATCCGAGTGTTTCAGAATTAAAATTAATATAATGTTTTTTTAAAACTTCGAGAGGTAGTGTTGTCCATTTTTTAGTGGATCTGCGTGTACAGAAATTCAAATCGTGATGAATAGTGAATTACATCATCTAATTGAAAAATAATAGATAATTGCATCAGTGAACTAATTAATTAGCATGTTAATGAAAAAATTAACTTAATATGAGCTTTTTCGTCTTTTTTCAGGATGTGCTGAAAATTAATATTCATGTCTTGCCTTTATTGTTATTGGTCAACTGTCGCATAAACACGCATAAAAACGTTGGAGAAATATAAACAAAATTTTGAGGTTAGTTTTTACTTTAATATTATTAATAATAATTACTTGTTTATTTTTGAAGCCCTTGTGCTACATTCAATATTAATATTTCGCTTGACTATTGTTTGACAAACATTGTTAATCACATTATGAATGTAAATCATACAATGTTCTATAAAATGTCCGTTCCCTTGGAATATATTTATAAAGGCAAATCCGAAAGTATTCTAATTTGCAAATTTCTAAACAACTGTTAATTATAGTTTATTTTGCAAAAATAATTAATGATTTTTTACATATCATAATAATTAAGTGGAAATTTTTTATTATATTTTATTTTATATTTATAATGATTTATTTTCAAAATATTCTTTCACCCTTTTGATTTTCTGATATTCATAAAATTATGCAACCTGTTATTCACGCTTGTATTCCGGGTTGCATATCGCCGGGTTGTGAATAAAAGACTAAATTATTTTGTTATATTCAGTACCAAATTTAAAAAGTTAAATATTTATTTATTCTCCACTGTAGACTTTGTACAAGATTATTAAAATAAAAACATAAATAATTCAATATTTTTGGAAGCCATAAAATTATTTTAATAAAAGATGTTTTGATTCTTCTGTTTGGCCTAATGGCTTCATTATCCTATATAAGAAATCTCTAAACGAAAATCTCTCGAAATATCTCGAAGTATTGGCGATTCAAACAGTTCAAGCAGCGCCACTGTTGGAACTAATATATGCAGGACAGCTGGTCTATGTTTCTGTTTGTTTACTTAAACTTTATAATTATTTTAATAAATAAACTGTATATTATACAATTAAATAAATTATTTTATTAAAATCATTACAAAGTTTAAGTAAACAAACAGAAACATAGACCAGCTGTCCTGCATATATTAGTTCCAACAGTGGCGCTGCTTGAACTGTTTGAATCGCCATATTGGTTGCTTTCACTCGTGAGCTATACTCAATTGGCTGAATTCATATTTTCTATCTTTGTATTTTAAACACTTGAAATAGAGAGGTTCATTCACTATACGAACATATACTTACACATTAAAATAAAAGTAGTGTACGTAAGAGGGCTATATTCCCTTTATCCAAATCTTTTTCATCATCTTCGTCTTTCAAGTACTTAAAAAAATAGTCTCAATCTATTTTGGAAATACGTTCGTGAAAATCGTTATCTTAATTAACGCGCGATTCCTTCAGATATATTATTGACGTAATAAAGTGATTTAATCCAATTAAATAAATTATAAATTAATAAATTATTATTGATAAGAAATTATTTAGATAAATATAATTGTTAAATAAATTTAATTGAATTAATTTTTAAATGATTAAGTTTTATATATTTAATTTATGTAAATAATATTAATATTTAATTTATTCTAATATAAAATATTTAAAATTGTTAAAATTAAATGTTAGAAAATGTTATGAAAGATTAAATTCAATATAAAAATTTTATACATATTTTAATAACTAATAAAATAATTAATATTTTACTAATGTCTTTCATTGCAGATAATAAAACGTATATTTATCTGCTTCATCTGAGAAGTGTGAAATTTAAAAAGATTAATTCTAAAAGAAATTGTTAAAGAAATACATAAACCAACAGAGAAAAGAAGGTCAGAAGAAACTGACAACATTAATAATAAATAAAAGTGTTTGGTTATTAAAAGAATTTTATTATTATATAACGTTTTGAAATTAATAATAATTATATTATTGATTTAAAATAAAATATACACTACAGTCAGAAATTGTCGGTACGAACGACGGGCGAGCTAAGAAAAATTGCTGCTGAAATTAAATTAACATAGTTTATTGTTACAAAATGATAGAAACTTGGTTCTTAGATTGTTTGAAAGCCTATTAAATTCCTTTGACTGATATATAAATAAATATTATTTTATATTTTTCAGAGATTTTATCACCTAAGATATTTAAAAAAAATTGATTAATTTTTCAATTTTCGTGTAATATATGTTTGTGTGTCTGCACAGTCTAGAAAAATGGGGAGCAAAATTAAAAACTCTTAAGAGTCTTATAATATAACATAATCATTATAGTCTCAGCTTTTATTTAAGTCATCTTTGAAATTTAAAATTTATTCAACAGTTTTTGAAACATCTAAAAAATATCCAAGTATGTTTTTCTAAAATTTGATTTGATTCCGAATCCTCTAAACTGAATGCATATTTTTCTCTTATATATGGTATAAAAATTAATACTCTTCACTTTAGAGGATTTTTCTCTCGCATATTATTTACTAATTACGATTATGAACTTATGAAGGAAAGTTAATTTGATGCACTGAATTAAATGTTTTTAATTAAATAAATATAATTAAAAACTAATAGTTAATTACTTACAATTATTAATATATTTATTCCTTTATTTATTTCATTTGAATTCAATTTTTCTGACATTTGAACATCAAAAAATTGTTTTGTTCTATTATTAACCACCAAAGAATAAAAATAATATACATTAAATTGGAATATTTTCCTTTGGAGAAGAAAACTTTAGAGGATATTAGAAGAGGATTTTTTCTTTAACTATGAGATTACTCTTTTTAGGGTGCACGAAATTAGAAAAATTAATCAATTTTTTCAAAATGTCTTAGGAGATAAATCTCTCAAAAATATAAAATAATATTTATTTACATATCAGTCGACGCAGAATTTAATAGGCTTTCAAACATAATATTTTTAAACATATTTTTTGTTTAAACCAAAACAGAAAATACATTATAATTAAATATAATTATTCAAATAAATAATACTTTTGAATGAAAGCAGTAGATATTTTCTATTTTAACTTATAAACTAATTTCAATTACAAAATCATCTAAAATTATTTTTGTATTTGAATTAAGTATAATGTTTTCTTAGTGAAGTAGCTATCATTTTCCAATAATAAACTATGTTAATTTAATTTCAGCAGCAATTTTTCTTAGCTCGCCCGTCGTTCGTACTGACAATTTCTGACGGTATATTGTATTTTAAAATTTATTTATTATTAATTTTTTTATTATCCTACAATTTTGTGTTATGAATAATTATTAATAAGGGTGTCCAGCGGTCAGGGAAGTCAGGGAATTTTAATCAAAATCAGGAAATTTTTTTAAAATTTCATGAGAAATCGATTTTTTTTATTTTTTAAATTTTCAGTCGACCAGATACTTGAATGAGTGAATTACTTTCGTTTATTGGTTCTCTTTCATTTTTGAAATCATCATCAAAAGGCTTTTCTAATTTGGAAAACTTTGTGAAAATGATTTTAATTTTATCTCATGGGAACGCGGCTTTAGATCGTGGTTTTTCAATAAACAAATAATTAGATTATTTTATCTTTGTTTTTTTTAGATTTTATGTGTGTAATATTTTGTTTACAACAAAAGAAGGTTTATAATGATGATAAATAAAGTGTTTAAGTTCACTATCATAAAACTACGTTAATATTTACCAGCTCACATAATTCTTTTTGTTAAAGATTTGTTATAAAAAAGGGAAGGGAAGAGTCAAGGGAAAGTCAGGAAATTTTTTTCTTAGTACTTGCAGGACACCCTGAATTAATTATAAAATAAATGTATATGAGTATTTTATAAGTAAATAAAATTTATTTTTGAATAAATACCAAGAACCGTTTCGAAATTTTAGTTTCGTTTTAGTTCCTGATTTTCAGTTTCCGTCATTTTTAACTGATTTTCAGTTTAATTCCACTGATTCAAATCGCGAGAATAAAGTCACTGATTCTTAGTCAAATTTCACTAATCTTAAGTAGGAATTTCACTGATTCTGATTTAGAGAGTAAATTTTAATAAAATTAGGCCTAATTTTTGATGATTTTGTTCGTATTACTTCATGTAATAAATGTTTTTTATAATAAACAAAATATGATCATTTATTTTATATAAATATGTCTATTTTTTATAAATTATGTTTAATTATTTGATTTTTTAATTATGTTTTGAAAATTAATTTTTCATCGTCAAACTCAAAACACTGTTGGCGCGCGCAATTTGTCGTCTAGTATATTTATATTTACAATAAGATGACGCGTTTCGACATGGAATACCACATCCTCATCAGATCTACAATGATAATTTACTACAATATAACATATATACAGACAGCATGTTGGAGAACATTTACGAAATATAAGATTTCTTTGTTTATATAATATAATTGCTTGAAAAAATTTTGTTTTTTCGCAGCCATAAGGAAACGTCTCTGGTTAAATATTTAAAAAAAAATATATATTTCCTTATGTTTGTTTCCTTATGGCTGCGAAAAAACAAAATTTTTTCAAGCAATTACCGTCAAACAGGCTAACTTCGGACAGTTTTTGATGTTTTTTATTAATATCTTTTATAATTTAATACCCAGAGGTTTGGCATTTAGAATATATAATCTTTAGGGTCTTGTGTAGTGATATTTGTAATTAAATTTTTTTTATTTATCTCTGTTATT